AGCTCATGAAAGTCAAAAATCCAGTATCTCAAAATATTAGAATATCTCCTAAGATCAATCAAAAAAGGATTTGCAAAACAGAAATGTTCAAGTTCTTTAAAGTATGTTCATTTCTGCACTCAATACTTGGTCGGGGCTCCTTTAGCACAAACTCCAGCATCAGTGAGGTGTGGCATGAAGCGATCAGCCTGTGGCACTGCTGAAGCGCTATTGAGTCTTCAGCTCGGATCCACTGTTTCTCATCTTTCTCTTGAAAATACTGTTGTTTGTACATTAATTTGAAGATTGAATGTAAAATTATTGCAATATAAAAGTATATTTAAAAATTTTAATGTTAGGTGGGATTAATCGCAATTAATTTCAGAAAATAATGTGCGATTAATTAGTTAATTTTTGTTATCAATTGACAGCACTAATATATATATAGCATGTTGGCTGGCCAATCAAGCACAGTAATATCATGGTCAGCAAAGCACTTGGAAGTGGTTTTGGCACTGTTGGCAGGTGCTAAAGTCCTGCTGGAAAAGGAAATCAGCATCTCCATAAAGCTTGTCAGCAGATGGAAGCATAAAGTGCTCCAAAATCTCCTGGTAGACGGCTGCATTGACTTTGGACTTGATAAAACACAATGGACCAACACCAGCAGACGTCACGGTAGCCCAAATCATCTGACTTCAGAAACTTCACACTGGACTTTAAGCAGCTTGGATTCTGTGCCTCTCCAGTCTTCCTCCAGACTCCAGACCTTGATTTCCAAATGAAATGCAAAATTTACTTTTCTAAAAAGAGGACTTTGGACCACTGAGCAACAGACCAGTTATTTTTCTCCTTAGCCCAGGTAAGAGTTATATAAGTGTTTTAATCAGCTTTGCTTAACCGTATTCTCAAGCTTGCGGTCATCCCTGTTGCTTGTGCACCTTTTCCTACCCAATTTCTTCCTTCCAGTCAACTTTGCATTTAATATGCTTTGATACAGCACTCTGTGAACAGCCACCCCTTTCAGTAATGACCTTCTGTGACTTACCCTCTTTGTGGAGGGTGTTAGTGATTGTCTTCTGAACCATTGCCAAGTCAGCAGTCTTCCACATTATTGTGGTTTCAAAGAACGAGATAGCCGGAATTTATACTGTAGGGATGGTCATTTAATGAAATAAAATTAAATATTCTAATATTTTGAGATACTGGATTTTTGACTTTTATGAGCTGTAAGCTCTAATAATCAAAATTAAAGCAAAAAAAAAATGTTGAAATGTTTTACTTTACATGTAATGGATCTTCGGCGTTGGCGAGTATATGTAACAGTGTCAGTCGCCAGTTGGCGGGTAAAACTTTTACGAAATATAACAATGCAATGTAGTGAGAACAACAGCCAGTTTTTAAAGAGATTCGCTGTTTCTGACGTAAGCAAATAAAATAATCTTTTCCAAAGACCAGATCATCATGATTAGCTGTTCTGTCATAATCGACAA